ATTTGTGAGTCAATTGTGAGCCGATTTGCTCATGATCAAGCAATTGAACGTATATCGTCGTTTCGACACCCGATTTGTGACTCGAAACTTATGTTTTTAGGTATTCCCGTCGGGAATCGTGATTCGAACGAAAGGTAAGTAATTTGTGACCCAAATAACCCGAATAATCATAATTTTTAACCCGTTTTCAGGTTTTCCCGCGGACTGTCTATTTTTCGACGCAGGATGATAAAAAGTGGTAAGTATGCATTTTACCGAATCTTTATTTTTCGTCGCTTTTTCGCGAACTTTGTGACGGAAACTCTTCGTCTATCGAAATTATGCAACTCGTGCAAAAATAATAAAAATCATAAAAAATAAGAGACTTATAAAATTGTGACACCGCATTACGCTCGCGTCATCAGCGTGCTACGCATCGCTTCGTTCTTAATTATACATATGTTGCAACAATATTAAACCTACATCTATCGACCGACACACTCACACATGCATTCGTGCGCTTACAAATGTCTTCTTAAAACTATTACATGACTGTTCTCTTGAGCCTGTATCAAAATATAAAGTATAAAGAAATAAAACATTAATAAATGTGGTAATATATATGAATAACACTGTTATCGGCTTAGCATTGCCGTCAAAACCCATTCGGCTGCGGTCAGCATACCGTAGGTAATCACAAATAATAATGTAAATATGGCTACGCCACATATCAGCTCGCGTGCTGACATTGTTAAGGTAATCGCGCGATTATCGCGCCTTCGCTCGCGGCGCTATTGTCCGGCACTGTCTCCGTCACGGGCTGTGCCACGCACGGATTGTACACCGCTGCGCCGGTTGTCGCCTGGATGTCGGCAACCAGTCGGTCGAACTCGTCGAACGTATTGCCCGCGGTCAGGCTGGGCTCGGCTGCTGTTCCCTCGTTCAGCGAGCGTCCTGGCGTCCTTGGCCTCTCTGCGGCTGTGGTCAAGCTGACGTTTTCGCCGCTATTTGCGAGCGGATGCTGCAACGTATCCGGTCGCAATCTCCTCGTTGCTGGCTGTTCCGCAGCATGCGGGACAGTCAGCACTAATTTAGTGGCGGAAATGTTAGTTACGACGGGCGTGGTCTGGCGCGAAGTAGATGTACTCGCGCTC